GTCATTCACATTCATTTAGGTCCACCTGATCAGTACTGCAGGTCTATCTTGAACACATAGTAGATACTCAAAAAGTTTGGTGAATTGAATTGAAAGCAATGAAGCTCAATAGAAAAGCACGTGCTTGAAAATTCAGAAGCTAAGAATTCTAGTTTCTTTACCAGCAGTCACCTTCTGATGGCCCACGGCTGAGTTACCTGACCTCGCCACACCCTAATTTCTCTACCAACAAAATGAGAACATTGAAAGTGCATCTTTGAAAGAATGGTGCATGTGAGTACCATTATAGGACACATCAAAAATAAGATTCATGAGACAATTTTTTAAATTTGGGAAATGCCATGGAGATAGTCTTCCTTCACCTTGGAGATAAATACATGGTCCACAGAGCTCTAGATGAGGTCTGTGAGTACTAATCCTCCTCAGCAAGGGGAACTCCGGCCTCAGGTCTTGGAAGAGAAGGTGCCTGTGCTCACTGTGGCTTCCTCACTGTGGTATCCTCAGCACCAGGCAGCCAGAGAGTTAGATCAAATGAGGTTTGTACCATTCTTCTAACTCCCCACCCGGAAACCCCTCCCCCAAAATAATAATAATTGGAAATGGATAGTGGTGATGGTTGCACAACATGGCAAATGTAATCAATGTCATTGAAATGTGCTTGTGAGAATGGTTAAAACAACAAATATCTTGTTATATATATTTTACCACAATTAAAAAAAAATGTTTTGAATGAAATGTGAGAAGGAAAATAGAAGAAAAGGTATGTTTGTGGGAGGAAGCTCCACGGCTGTTCCTTTTCTTGCTTCTCTGCCTTTGTGAGGATCAACAAAAGACACACATTGCTCCCCACCTTCAATTTATTAAAAGGTGGCCCAGAGCTCGGGGCTGATAAATTGGAAAGCCAGTAGCCATTTCTCTGGAGGAGGCAGTCCTGTACCGGGCACTGGGCTTGGTAGGCAGGCCTGGCTTCAGCCCCCACCCAGACCCTCTCGGCTGGGTGCTTTGGGTAGAGCATAACCTGTGGACCCACATGCCTGACCAAGCCACTCCCAACCTAGACCTAAGTGACAGTCCTAAGAGATGAACTCCATGAGCTCAGGGGGTACATTTCCAGTGAATTATGTTGCCCAGTGTTTCCAAAACAAAGAGGAAAACTAATTTTGTATTTGAGTCAAAGGAAGATTATAGTATCAAGGGATAATAAAAAATCATTTTAATATCACAAAATAGAGCCTCTGGGGGAAAAGAACCTGGCTAATTAAGAATCACAGAAAAAGAAGAAGACAGATTTTTAAGACTATTGATAACAAATTGGAAAAATACCTTCTGTGCATATGATTCATTTTAATTGCAATTTACTACCTGCCTGCAGCACCTCTGAACCATGCTCTTTCTAATACAGATCAGTGTTTCTCAAAGCATCTGAATCAGAATCTTAGGTGATGGTATCATCAAAGCTGCATTTTCACCAACCTCTCCAGGTGATTAATATGCATCTTGAATAGTAATAATGATAGTAATTTTATTGAGTTCTTACTATATTCTGGCTACTATACTTCAATATTTTATCAGTGGTTTGAGAAGCACTGATATGGAAGATACTGATGTGATAAAAGTTTAGTATTACTCATAAATAAATCTCTCTCGGTATCATAGATTTAGTCATTTTGTAGCCTCAATTATCCCCCCTGGGACTATGGTGATGTTTAAACTTCTCTAATCTTCATCTTACAACTCCATTTTTAGCCAGGTCCCTATATCTAGCACCATCCTATTAATGGATTTTGGTGTACTTTGAAAGCACAAGGCTTGATATGCAGAGTTTTGTTTTTTATTTTTGTTCTTTTTTTTTTTTTCCTCCCTGATGTAAACAGGATCAAGTCATCTCATGCATGCAAAGGATTTGCAAGCTCTTTCTAATCTCAGAAACTGGAAATCCTGGAGAAGCCCTTGTGAGAATGCAATATTTTTAGCTGCTGTTACATCTTAAGTGTCTTGAAAATGTCATTACTGTCTTACACCCCAGTTATTCATTAACTCCTTACTAGTACCCTTCTAAAAGTCTCGTTAGAGTTTGCCATATATTTTCTATTCAAAGGCATTTAAATCTTTATGTACTTAGCAAATAGGCAAAGACTTTCATGGAAATTTTAACCATTCAAGGTACAGAATTTTTTAAACACATAGAGAACATTTTCTACATGGGAGCATGCTTGGTCACATGCTGGAAACTTCTGCGCTTGTTCTCACTTTATAAAGAAGGATCATTGGCTAATGCCCACAAAAGAGAATACTGGGTGGTAATGAAGGAAGTAGACTTTGACACCAGCCTGCCTCAGACCCAGTCCTAGGCTTGCTGCCTGCTTACTTGCCATGTGGCCTTGGGCACGTTACTCTCCTCTCTGTCCTTCCACATCTGTATAATGGGGTTAAAAATAATAACATGAAACTCGTTGGCTAGTTATGAAGAGTTGACTTTCATATTCTCTAAAGCTCTCAGAACCATGCCTGGCACACAAGATGCCCTTAGTAATTGTTAGCCTTTTTTATATTAATAATTTATCTGATTATGTTCAAACTTATATGCATTGAGATGCTTGCTTTAGTTATAAGTAAGCACTTTTCTTTTGTCTGATGGTTATTAATAATCAACAATATATGGATTTTCCACAAGTATATTTGGAACTCAACTAAACCAACTCTTATGTGCTTTACCCCATGAGAGGTCTATTGAAAAAAATAGACACTTAGCGTTTATATCAGACAAAAGAAAACAATGAATTTACTCGCCATTTTTCCTAGTTGTACACACTAACTTATTTTTGTTTGTAACTACAGACAATGATCAGTATCCAAAAGAACTAGTGCCACGTGCATTTTCAAAGCAAACACATGAAAAACTATATGTAATTACATCTTCATATATATTAATTACAATTATATTTGATGAAGACGTGTTACAGTAAATATACTGATTATAAAATAGGTATATTAGTATACTGTTAAGGGCGATAGACAAAACTATTTGCAGACATGCCCTGTGATTTTTTTCTTTTTTAAAGACTTAAAAATTCTCTCTCTCAAGAAAAAAAAGAAGGGGTGAGTATTACTTTCAGCCTGAATTCTATTGCTATATTGAAACACAGAACCATCAAACTCTAGAAGGGCCAGGTGTTTATTAACTTGTGAATTCCTCCAGATGGAGTTTACCTTGTTCAAAACTCAGGTGTTTAGAAGTGTTCTGCAGCTCCTGTGGGATTCCTCCAACATAGACTGCAGAGTTCACCGTGAGAGGCTGAGCCCTGGACTGCAACGCACTTTTCGTCACTTCATTCGTGCCCGCTGTTATGACTGAGCTTTTCTTCTTCATGGTCACGTTATTCCACCTTCCATCACAATAGGACAGCCCCAGCCACAAATCCACTTGGGTAAAGGTAAAATTGGTATTTAACAGGAAGCTCAGTATTCCACTCTTCAGCTCCACCTGTATTGCAAATTAAAAAAGAAAACAGATGAATAAAGAGCTCAGAATAAGAGATTGGGATGGAGCAAAAGTCAATTTCTTGGAGGAAAGCAAGAAACTTCGCTGAAAGCACTCCATAAAAATGTTCCACTTCATTCTAAACAGAACTACAGTAACATGGAATGGAGTGCTTTGCAAGCTTATAACTGACATGTAGAATGTTGTATTGAGTCAAACAAATTTTTACCCAGTAATGACTATACTATATGATGCGATATTGTGTTAGCCTAAACATTGTTTTTGGTGCAACATAGTTAAAAAAGTAAACTCTACTATAAGTGGCTGGATAATTGAAGAGAAAAGACCAGCTTGAACTATGACTTTTTTTTGAGTTTTGGAAAATGAGAAAATACTACTTCATATATCAATTTAATTTGGGGGAAAATATGACAAGACAATAAAAAAATGAAATGTCAAGCCTGATTAAGCTTATTTTAACTGGTTGGTGAACTCCATTTCAAATTTGTAAGATGTATTTTGATTAATATTTCAGTTTTATTGTTCCAAATCTCTAAATAACATAATTGCTTTTGTGCATATTCTTTTAGATTAATGTGTCATTTTCTGATGTAAACATATTTTACTCAGATTTTCCTGGTAAAGGAAATGTCTCTATATGTTTTCCTTCAAAATGTTACACGATCATGTTTTTTCTTACCATGTTCTTATTTTGCTAGAAGCGAAATAAACAATCGTAGGATAGGTAAATGTTTTGATATTCATCGTGTCAAATAAAACAAATCAGGTAATGCCAGAGAAAAATTACTTTTTATGTAAACATCATTGCAAAGTACATCAGGTAGGCAGTTGGTCATTTGTTTATCCATTCATTCCATAAATACTGAGCCCCTACTACATTCCAGGCATCTGCGGCTCTAAAATACCCACTGCTCGCAAATATCCCACTCTCTAATAGCAGAGACAAACATAGAGGGGAATACCGCAACCAAGATGGAGATGGGGTACAATGGGAGCAGAGAAAGGATATGCCCTTTGTTCCCTGGGAATCGGGAGAGGTTTGAAGTAAGGGTTTGGAATATTATGTGAGAGCCATGGAGGACCCTCCGAGCAGGGGGATTAACATGTAAAAGGGCATGGGGACAGGGGAGAGCTCATTGGGTTTGGGAAAAAGTACCAAGTTAGTAAGACAAAGGGTACATACGGAGAGGGGGTGAGTTAGAAAGAGCCTTGCCAGGAACAGAAAGGCCCGATTTTGGAGGATTTTGAGTGATATGGGGAAAAAGTTCATTTTTCTCTTGTAAGCAATAAAAATTGGAAACAGGAGAATGAAATAACCAACTTCCATTGTAACGATAGTAGTGATTTGTATATAGTGAACATTTGCTATATTTCAGACCTTGAACCAAATACTTTACATAAAGCATCTCTAACCTTCACACCAATTCTACAAGTGGGTGTTCTTTCTATTTTATGTGTGAAGAAACTAAGGTTCTAAGTAGTTAAGCATATTTCCAGAGAGCATGTAGGCAACAGTAGAACTTTTTTTTTTATTATTGTGCTTTAGGTGAAATTTACAGAGTAAATAACTTTCTCATTAAACAGTTAATACACAAATTGTTTTGTGACATTGGTTGCCAACCCTGCAGTGTGTCAACACTCTCCACTTCTCCACCTAGGGTTCCCTATTTTCATTTGTCCAGTTTTCCTGTCCCCTCTTGCCTTCTTATCTTTGCTTTTGGGCAAAGATAAAATAAAGATAACAATGAAGATGATAGGGAAAACTCAATTTAAGAGATATTTTACAAAGCAACTCATCAGGAAAATCACTGAAAAGTTGCATGTTTGAGATAAATTAAAAAGAAATCAAGGATATCCGTAATTTTCCTTGGGCAACTAAGGAAGTATTTCATCATCATGATATGGAAAGCATTCGAAGGAAAGGTCAGGTGTTGTTATTCTTTATATATAAATATTGTTTTTATGAAATGCCTGTAAAGCATCCAGGAGAAACTCTGAGGTAGTCTAACATAAAAATACATGTACTTGGGACGTAGCAGTAAAATGGACAAAGTTGATGATGAGCTAAGCAAGATTATGTAATTAGTGTAAAAAAGAGTGAAAAGAAAAGGGAAGGGGTATAGAATCTTTGGCAAGGCCAGTTTTAAGGTGAAGGTAGAGTAGAAGTAGTTCTTTAAGTTGGAAAAGAAAATGGAGAAGCCAGAAGGATTTAACGAACATCAAGAGAAACCAGCATTTTGTAAAGTCAGTAGGGAAGAATATTTTAAGAAAAAAAGGAGAATGACACAGGAAGATCCAATAAGATAAGAACTGAAAATTACTCACTAAACTGGGAAGCATGGCGGTCATTGGCGACTTTATAAAATTGGTTTGCAGTGGAGTTGTAGGGGCAGGAGCCTTATGTACGGTTTTGAGGACCGAAGTGGGATGAGAAAATGAAATAACAAGAGTAATCACTTTCAATGCACTTGACTGTAAGGGAAGGAAAATACAGCAGAGAGGGTTTTTTCGAAGTAAAACAAACAAGATGAATGAAGCTCAAGCATTTTGTATGTGGAGGGGAAGAGACAAGGGAGAAGGAACAGCTGAACTACAAAAAGGGGGTAATTTGTAGAACAAGGTCTTGCAGGAGAAGGAACAGAATCTAAAATAAAGGGAGAATGATTCACTTTGGTTGTTAGCATGACAATTGTATTTTTTCTCCCTCTGAGTCAGGAGAGAATGAAGCCAGGCTTGATTCAGATATGGTAAAGTTTGTAGGTAGAAAGGTTAGAAGCTGTGGTGATATGTTTGCTTTTATTGTGAGAGTGATAGATGATCTAAAGACTTAAAGGTTGTGGAGTCTGCCAGGTCCTGAGATTGCACATTCTCTTTCACTTTCCACATCTATTCTGTCAACCAGTCCTGTAAAGAATAAATATTATCCAATGAAAAAACTGACACGCCAAAATTCAGAGCATCACTACTCACAGTGCCTGTATATGTTCTCCTATAGTGCTCAACAGTCTGTGATCCAGGGTTATGGAGTTGAAGATGTAAGTTCAGGGCACTGATAGAAATATGGTTGACGAGCTGTACTTTTACCTATATAAGGTAGTGAGCAAGGAAATTAAAGAGAAAGTGGGCTAATAGCCAATGGCTTCAATATGTTGAGCTCAAAGAGAGAGAAATGAGAGAACAAGAGAGCTGGAAGGATATAAAGTTGTTTTAAGGTTTGAGATGGTAGCTGTGTAACATTCTGAGTTATAGCAAGTTCCAGGGGATGGTCGTATATATTGAAGTTACTCGGGATAACAAGAAGAGTTGATGTTGAGAGGTAACCTGTGAGAAGCCTGAGTCCTCAGATACTGAAGATGAGAACATAAGCTTTGTGAAGGTCTACTTTCTTCAAAGCCGTACTAGAAGTGCCTAAAGAAAGAGCCTAGCACACAGTAGACCATCAATCTATATTTGTCTAAACATAATGATTTTTCAAGTTACTTTATTAAAGCTATCTAAATTAACATTATTATTTATTACAATGGACATTTATCATATGTCAAAGGCAATGAATGGAGAAACATGGAGGACTGAGGGTGGCACAGCACAGTGTGAGAGCTTTCATCGGAGACATGCTCCTCAAGAGGAGGTGACAACTGATCAACACCTTTACATCCTCCACGGAGCTTACGCACATGCAGATGATGAAAGAATGTTTGATGGGGGTGGCCACAGCATAAAGTCACTCAGATGTTCACTCATTCACTCATTCAACAGTATTTATTGAGTACTTAGTTAGTGTCAGATATCAAGTTAGCCAATGAGGATACAACTGTAAAGAAGACACCAAAGTCCCTGTACTCACGGAAATTATACTGAGTGGGGAGGACAACAACAAACAAGAGCAGATATAAATACATTCCGTGCGCAGAAATTTTAATAAGTACTATAAAGGGATAAATTTCCATCTATCTTATCAACAAAATTCACTTTATATAATCCAGAAATGTACAAAATCAACGAAACGAAAATATCTTAGAATCTGAAAACCACCAAAACCCAATTGGATTGTCTTAATTCCTTAGTTTCTGGTCTGTTTTGGTAGAATTAAAATTTTAACAGTAATAATTGTCATTTAAAAAAAAAATCATCATGATCCTAAAACATAAACTGACAGGACTCCAAAACCCCATAATTAACTGAGGGAAAAAAATGAAAACAAAAATAAATCTGCAAAGAAACTTCAATCGAGTATAATCTTCGCACATGGTTTATATATTTTAAGTTGGGTCTGACATTTAAGAATAAATTTACTTAAATTAATTAACATACAGCAAGAAAATCAGGTCCATGTTTGTTGTAAACAAAAAGCAGCAAGCCATTCAATTGGTCGGTTCTGAATTTAAAGGAAATCTCAAAGTCCATTCCACCATGAAATACATATGAATGAAGCTCCAGGAACCCTTTAAAGATAAGAGAATGTCCATATTAGCACATCTAATGTAATATCAAGGAGCCCTAGTGGCACAGTGGTTAAGCGCTCTGCTGCTAACTGAAAGGTTGGTGATTCAAACCCACCAAGTCAGTCCGCAGGAGAAAAGACCTGGTGACCTTAAGCCCTAGAAAACTGTAGGGGCAGTTCTACTCCGTCACAATGAGTTGCTGTAAGTTAAAATCGACTCAGCTGTACCTGACAACAACAGCGTAACATCACCGCCATCCTCAGGGGGTTATAAGACTCTGTGACATATTTTCTCATTGAGTAAATCTGTCACTATAGAGGATGCAAATCAATGTTAAGAAATCCCTTCTGTAATTGTACAGAAGTGGCAGAAGGAGCTGATATACCTGTTGCACTGGCGAAGAGGAACTTAGCCAATGAGAAAAGAACAGTGAAAAAGTGCACAGATTGTGATATTGTTTAGATTTGTGTTCCAAAGGCAGTTTAAGCAACATAGTAACTAAGCAACTTAGTTCTAAATGTAGGAGGCATAGGTGGGCTTCTATTTGAAGAACAAGACCTGCCCACCAAGCCATCGTATTCCCTTCCACCGCCTCACCTTGGGGGGCTGCCAAGGCAGAGACATCCAGTGAGGAGATATGCCATGGACACCACACCTCACCTTTTGGCCGAAGCCTTTGAGACAATGGCAGGGACGCGGTTATGTTCTCAGCTCTCTCTCAATGGCCTATTTAACCGTTATAGACGTGAAATTTTCCTTTTTGGAATATCGTTCAGCTTTATAGTAGGGCCTTGTTGGCACAGTGGTTAAGAACTACAGGAAGCCAAGGCTGCTAACCATAAAGTCTGCAATTCAAACCCACCAGCTGCTCTTTGGAAACCCTATGGGGGCAGTTCTACTCTGTCCGATAGGGTCACTATGGGACGGAATCGACTCGATGGCAACCGGTTTTTTTGTTTTTATAATGGGATAAATAGGTCTTTGTGAATTAAACTGATAAACACAACTCCTCTGAATCATCTTTCTAAGTAAGACTGCATTCTGATTTCCAAACAACGTACTTACAAATAGACCTTTGCAACACCAACATATGCAAACCAAGAACTATCACGGGCAGCCAGAGATCTTACCCATGAATATATATTTATGAGTTTTACAATTTATATTACATATTCAGACTTTGAGAATACACTTATGTGCATCAAGGCATAACTAGTATTTCCGTGTATAGTAGGTCCACAAGAGGTCCAAGTAACTGGACAGGGGAGACTGAACTACGCCAAGTGTGAACAGACAGCTAAGCAAGCACTGATGTCTCTTTTAGGAACGTACCTGCTCCTAGGAACTGGGCTCCCTCCTCTAACGCAGTAGGGCATCCCTCCCAGCTCTTATACACGTTCACTTGCTCTTCAGAACTCTGCCACTCCAGAGGTTCCCAGATAACAGAGGGATTATAATTCTTCATAAAAAGCACGTCCTTGAGACAGCCCACAAAACCCTTTTGAATTATCTCTGCAGGAGTTGATAGATATCAAGAAATATGTATTTTTAAAGATTCTTTTCCAGTAATCTTACGTGCCCTTAGAATCAAAGAAATAGACAATAGTTCTCACCACCTATTTACTGTGAGCATCTTAACCATTCATGTAAACACCACGTCATCAGCCACGGTAACTGGTAACATTTATAAGGTTTAGCCCTGGCTCAGACACATTATATCTGCAGAAACAGTTGTTTATGAGATAATCCTGATTTTGCAGTATACCCAACAATATTGCTTTATGCAACTAACCAGGAAAGTTTTATCTGCCACTAATTTTAAAAACAAAAGTGCTGTAACAGCTTTTAAAAAGGAGAAGATTTGAAGGGAGTTTTTCTATTAAACTGTACTTTATAGTTTAGTTTACTCATCACCCTGCATCATTCTGTTGCTCAAGTGATTTCTAATTTCATGTTTAAGAATTCAATACTTCGTGTAACGTTACACTGAATTTCAGAACTCTCCAGACCAGGTAGATTTAGGGCTTATTAATATAGCAAAGAGCGTTATATTAGGGGTAGGGGACAAATCAAGTGAGCTAATGAGAGAGTGAGAGAGAGCAAGAAAATATTATAAAGGGAGAGTGCCCTGGGGAGCAAGCATCTGACTGGCTGTTCAGGTCATATTTCATAAGGGTCATATCCTTACGTATAGACCCAAAGCTTGGTTCTCGGCTTTTGAGTTGATGAGTTGACTCTAGGGAAGTTATTCAGAAGCAAAGTGCTACAAGGCCAACTTATATACACATACCAAATTATTTACTTATAATGGAGACATGCCGACCCTAGGAAGGGTACTTGGTGTCAGGGTATTCTCTCCTTCTGGGGCCTGGACCTACCACAGCTCACAAGTCTGTTTAATGGGCAAAAAAGGAGAACAAAGACTCTGAATGTGAGTGATTGTATGTGTGAGACTGTGTGTGTACATCTGTGTGAATGTTTTAGAGAGCGTTTGCTATCAGTCTAAAGCAACTGAATGAAAACCCCCTCTACTCTAGAGACGCTTCTAACCAGTCCTGAAGATTTGAATGTATCCCTCTCCAAAGTGTAGTGAGAATTTTTACTTCTTTTGATCTTCATCTTGATTCCCTGAAGACCACAATCCTTGAATGAATTATAATTAACTGGGTCCTTTAAGTTAGTTACATTTTAACATCCTGGAAGAAACCTGGGGGCACCATATTATTCTTGGGTGACAACCCTAG